ATTGAGATCCTTAGAAGGAACAAAGCAGGGTGGGTCGTGAGTGGAGGAGCTTGGGACACAAACTAGTTGCTCGCTCATTCAGTGCATTCCTGCCTGTGAGGTGATTACACATTACAAGGGACCATGTGGGACACACTGTATTTGAAAATTGTTTGTTTATTGTGGGGTTTCCTTCACTGGAAAGCAAGTGTCAGGGAGTAGGGACTGTCTTGTTCACTGCTGAATTCCCAGCAGCAAACATGCAGGATAACTAAATGAATGAATGGTGGTAGGGGTGGGGACAGAAGTCTCATCCCAACTATTTTACAATCACTTCTTCTCACAGACTAAATTTTGTATGCTGTTTGCATCTTTGTTTATTTTTCTTCAAACTGGTTCAGAACCCAAATCCTGATCCTTTCCCCAAGTACTCTTCCCAAGGACATTTTCAGATTATCACTCCAATGGACAGAGTAATGTTAGTGGGACCAATGAGCACGGAGCTAGGCAGCACTGCAATCAGTCTAGTTTTGTTCAATGGCCTTGAAGACAAGTTATTCCCAAAGGACGAGGCAGGGTAGTGGTCTGGGGCCCGCCCATAACCATCACAGAGACAATAGTCATTCACTCTAGTAAGGCTTGTAGGATTGTTCATTTTATATTAAAAGGGAAATTCATTAAGCAAGGGAACTAAAAAATGCTCACCAGGAATAAGGAAGAAATGAAGAAAGACACAGGAGGGACATGCTTTTTTTTTTTTTTTTTTTACTTTGAACATTAGCATTAAGTTGGTTACCGTACACATCCAAAGGCCCAGCATCTCAGAAAAAAAAAAAAATCATTAAGCGGCACACCTTGTACCAGAGTCTCACAAGAATAAAATATACAATGCTACATTGAGTGGTTAAAAATACACAAAAAGTAGTTTTAACAATCTATAAATTTTTTATACTTAAAATCATGATTGAGTTGAAATAAAAAAGTGCATTTCAATTGCTAAAAAAATAATATTGGTATAGTTAACACACGGGGGAAAATCAGCACACCGAGGGATCTGACAGGATGTGGGGAAACAGATGACCCAGGGAGGCCAGGCAGTGCCAGCTGGTTCAGGAGCCCACCCCACTGCAGTTCCCTTGGGCCAAGCAGCCCTCCTCTCCCTGGTCTTTCCCATCTTAAGAGATCCTGTCCTACCTATCTGTCATTGAAAGACTCCTCTAAACTTCTTTGCAGCATGACAGATACTTTCCCTACACTGAGTCCAACTTGATCTTCAACAGCATCTCCACAGAGAGGTAGGAGAGGGACACTGCCCCATTCTGGACTTGACATAAGTACCCCAGCCACACGGCCTTAATCCTTATGACCTAGCAGGCAGAACAGGGACCAAGCAGCTTCTATTTTGTCAAACTCCTTTGGACAATATTCAACATTCAACAACAAGCTTTGTAAACCTAACGCTAAACAATTCCTGGCAAGCAAACTGGATTTTCTTTTCTTGAAGAAATGAGGAAAAGTGCAAGTGATTTCAGTACTGTTGGGGAAAACAAAATGAAAAAAAAAGTTGCACCTGGGCACCTGATACCTAAATCAATCACAGCTTCCGTTTCGTTTTTTGTGAAGTGTTGGAATTATAAGTGAACGGACTTGGCAGGGAAAAGGGGGCCAGGCAGAAATCAGTTAAGAAGGCCTTCCCAGGTGTAAATACTTCCTGGCTCAGCAGGGTAAATATTCACAGCCTGGTGTTTTCCCTTAATTGATGACTGACATGTTCACTATGAAGATGCTGCTGCAATGAGCTCAAATGAGGGGAGAAGCCTCAACACACACCCAGAGAGCACAGCTGGAGTTCTAAACTAGAGGAGTGCCTGCTGCAGGAAATCTCCCCCACCCTACCTGGAAGACTAGCAGACAAGGAGGTCCAAGCTGCTGTTGCTGCAGGTGGGATGTGGAAGAAGGAAATAAGGAGGGTCGCCTTCCTGCTGTGCATTCAGCACTTGCAGATCCCTCAAGGCAAGGCTTGTAATCTTGGTCACCACTATTAACAAAGACTAGTTAATTGAACTGCCTGACCCACAAGGACCATAGACCTGCGCATAAATCTTTGCTTGCATCATGAAGGCTAAGCAACTACTGGTCTTAGTAATGAGGGAAAATGCCTTAAATAATCAAGATACACAAATAAGCACTGAGTCAAGAGACAGCACTACAGAAAAAGACTTAAAAAGGGATCTTTATAAGCTGAGAATAAAGGTAAAGTACCTTATTGCCCCCTTGTGGAAAGAGCAAGTACTGCATATGCCCATGTCCAGAAATGAATAAAATGCATACTCGAATTATTGGAAGATTGAGAACTCATCTGATTTTCTGAGGCCACATATATACCCTCAAAAATACAACTGTAGAAGTACACATCAAAACTATGCCACATTGTTTTTCTTTTCGACCTAATGAGGCGAATAATCAAGACATGAAAGATGTTTCTAGGAGGGTTAAGAGTTCTAGGAGGATAAAAGACTTTCCACCAACTTTCAACTATAGGGAACCAGTCTCAAGTCTTATGCAGGATGTGTCCTTCTGATCACATGGCCCCTTTTCACCTGTAAAAGGTGGGGCAGAAGTTGTGTTCATTCACAGGAGCCAGACATTCAGAAAGAACTCCATTCTTTGGCACATCCAGTACAGAGACAGGCTCTGTGGATCCAACTATCCAATGCAAGTATCAAATTTCCTTCTGAAGTAAGCAAAATCCAGGCTCCATCTTTTTTTTCCCCCTTTTCCATTTCCTACATGTCCTTTGAAGAATCATTTTCAAGTAATTTGAACATCCCTAATCTTACCAGAGAAGCTAAAATAGCATGAAAGCAACCTGGAGTTGGAGCTGTAGGGACACTTGGGGGGGGGGCGCGGCGGGCGGGGCAAGAACTCCCTTTGATTCTTGCACTAAATGTTTCCTACTGAAGACAAAAAACAAGGCAGCAGTCTGTCTCAAAAGACATGGTTCCTCCAAATGACAGGCAAATATGGCTCTCTATTGTTTTATTGCCTGGGACTCTGGAAAGCAGCATACTTTAGACAGYCAGTTGTACTCAAGTAGCAAAATTCTAGGTCAATAATGGGCATTAGCAAGGCAAACTGAAGTGAAAAGAATTTAAAACAATAAACTCGTTACTGATTTCTATAATACAGAAATCTACCTCTTATATTTTGTAAACTTGTCTTTCCATTCCAAATAGTGAAACCTTTTGATAGCTTGAATTTATTCATTATCGTATATACCCAATTTTCACAACCAATTTTTATGAATAACATACTGTTTATCACCAGCCAACAGGGGCTAAGAATCTAGTAACAGCTACCTTTTTAGACTCCCACCTTATGTGGTTATTAGTCTTGAAAACCTGAATACTAGTAACTTTAAGGGAAGAGACATGAGACTTTGGGTCAGAAAGCAAAGATTCTGACCAAGGCCAAAATATTCAATAGTTTTATTTGCTGACAAAATGGAACCCAATTTCTTTCTTTCCTTTTTTTTTTTTTTTTGTGACACCATGGGTTGAACACAGGAGCACTCCACCACCACGTCCCTAAACCCCTTTCTTAAATTTTATTTTGAGACAGGGTCCTACTAAATTACTGAGGTTGGCCTTGAACTTGCCATCCTCCTGCCTTACCTCAAGAGTCCCTGGGATCATAGTGGGGGCCAACACGCCTGATCATTTTTCTCATTTTAAAGGGTTCATTTGTTTTTACCTTTGGAGGAGTACTTAGGAGCAATCAACCTATACACAGCACAGACTAGTTTTGGCTGTGAACAATTAGCCAATTGCTAAAATAAATTTTATCAATGAAATGCCCATATCACAGACAGAACACACTTTGACCCTCTGTTTATTACATCCTTCAGGTATTATGTATCAATCATACTTTTTAAATGAATTTAAATGACAATAACTAGAAAAGAAAGTAAATAGAGGTTTTTGAGAGATGAGAGAGGCAGATTAAAAAGAAAGAAATCAGTGAAGGTCTTCTGTTAAATCCAGAGAGCAATTTTAAATTCATTTTGACTAAAAGAAAGTTATGGGTACAACCTTGCAAAATATTTGCAAAAGAGAAGAGGGTGCAGAGCAACAGCAGCATTCAGAATCCCTTTGTCAGGAAGGGCAGGCATTCAGGAAGACTTCAGATGAGAAAATGATGTTCAAAAGAGACTCAAGGACCTTTAAAGGAACATCTAGCTTCTCATGAAAGAAAAGAAGGTGAAGAGCAAGATAAGGATAATATCTTTCAACACTAGTGACACAATATATGAATAAGATATAAATCAAAGTTTAAAAGGTAAACAGAAAACAACATGCAGGAACAACAAAAAAATGTGTTCAGAATTCTTGTCCAAGGTTTTAGCCAGTTTGTAGAGTTAAACCCTTCGGAGCAAGGGTGGATCCCAATACTCATGCAGAATGAAATAATCAGAGGTAGGATTTAGACCAGGAAAATAATGCTCCAGGATGCTGGCTTTTTGAAGGCACTCAAGAACAGAGTGAGAGAGACTGAAGCTGCAGTGAGATCATAGCCCTAGACAGAGAGGCATATTCTCACTTTATCTGTCATAAACAAAAACAATGCCAGGCACACAGGGACAAGACATGTATCATGGAGTGATCCACAGAGTTGACAAGATAGAAAGAAACCCACTTCATGAGTCATTTCTTACAACAACATAGCTTCTACTTAGGAAACAAGAAAGAAAAGTTTGTTTTCTGGATATGCAATTCTGCAAATTAGTTTGAATTAAGTAACAAATTTGATAAATGGTAAGTTATCTAGTTCTTTAAACAAATTTACTGAGGCTGAAGCTTCAACATTGGGAAAACTTAGGAGTTTGATTTTCCTTAAAGTCTTGCAAAGCCTATCCTCTAAGACAAAAAGATCTGGTCATAAAGTCTATAAAAATGTCTACAGAGTATAAAAGCATAGAACTATGAAAGTGAATATTCTGATGGCAACTTTTATGGCTTCCATAGAAAGTGTAGAGAGGACCTCTGGTTTGCATTATCGAGGTAGTGTCCATGGTTAGAAGGTTGTCATTATCTCTTATGAATGCTACAGATGACAAAAGCAAGTCAGCTAGGGCGTTGTTATTGCATGAGATGCCACTATCTCTAATGGCTTATAACTTCATTCCTGAAAAAAATGGTCTTTTAGGAAATTCCTATCTTGATGCAGGCAAAGGAAAATTAAGACCCAATATTTACTTGCTCAGTTTTACAGTTGAAAGAATTCCAAGTGAGCTGATTTTTTWAAAAAAAATTATAGTTAACCGATAAAATGCTTAAGTATAACTTATCCCCATTTTAATTAAATCCTCCCCAGTCTGGAACATCATCATGTGGACCAGCAATGCAACAAGAGTTGTCTTTTCCATACAGTAGCTCAAACAGAAGTGTTCATCTAATATGAACACTTAAAAAAAAAAAAAGTGAAAATAAAAACCTACCTACCACAGGATGTTGTTTAAAAATTTGCAAGGTGGGCTAAATTTACCTATACATCTGCAAAGAATTTCTCTCTTTGTTCCAGATTCTCAAAATTTAAAACTTCCAGTGAAATAAAAATGAAAAACACACACATCCATTCAACAAAAATAAAAACTGAAAAAAAATTTAAGAAGTAAAAAATTCAAAGTTTACAAGTTCCTCTTCAAAGCATTTTGCCTGCAGTTAGTGGGCTAGGGACAATCAAATCACAGGGAGCATTCTAACTACAATAAAAAGGTACTTCCGATAAAGTGTAGTTTTTCTTTCTTTTTTTTTTTTTTTAAAAAAAGATGGTATAAAATTATGGAAACTTCTATGCTCAATCGTTAATTTAGAATAATTAGTGTAAAAGGTAGACTATAAAAGTATGTGGGAGTGATCTGCACAGGTTTCTTTGAACTATAGTAAAGTTTTATTCAGAGATCTTTGCTAAAAGTAAGAATMAAATCTTACTTTTAGAAAGGAGGCCATGTGCCTTTAAACTCTTCATCCTTTTTTCTTCATTCAGATTTAAAAACCTACCTCAGTATAAGCCTACCTGACTCAATTTGAGAAAACAGGAACCTTTTATTAGGGCTAAAGAAGAGTTTACATTTGAATGATAAATCTATGAGAAAAGAATAGAAAATGCAAAAAAAAACACAACTAACTACCAAAAATGCAATGTCAACTCAAGAAAGTCCTTGGGAAATTTTCCTCAAATAAGTAACCCTTGCAATGATACAAGCCTTTAAAGACAGTATAAGATATAGTAATGAGAGACAGCCTCATTATCTATATAATGCTGAAATGTGGCCTTTATTGTCTTTGAGATATAAGTACAGATAAGAGCTGAGGACTCAAACTCCTCCAGAGTTTTTTTTTTTTTTTTCAAAAACAGATAATGAGGAGGTCATAGGCTTTGAAGAATTCATGGGGTGCTATAGAATATGTAACTTTTATTTTGGTAGAGGACCCCAACCAAAATTTCAACCCTGAGTTTGAGTCTTCAGCGCGTTAAACCTGATGCACATACATGTTTTAAGGCTTAATCCTATAGTTCTTGTATTCAGAAGCATTAATGTCATGACTATTCTTAATGCATTTCATTATTCATACATAAAATGACACTGATGAGGAATCATATTCTGAGAAGTTTTCCTGAAGACCACAAATCCCAAATAAGGAAAGGTACACCTATCCAGGGGAGAAAATTATAAGTTTCTAGATTGTTCCACAATACATTTCACTAAAAATTATACTGTGTGACAATGTTAATTCTTTTTTTTTTCCAATCATTTTTTTCCTTCTGTAAGAATAGTGGTGGCTATTTGCTTACTATTTTTTGTCTGTGTAACAGATATTTTCTTATGGCTATAGTTGCTTGAATGAAAAACCAAAGATGACTACCTGAATTTTCCAGTATATAATTATAGAACACCTCATGAAATAGTTGATTCAATGGTCTCAAGTCTAGAGTTCAGAATTGCCGCCCAATTCTATACATTTATTTAGAACAAAATAAGGTATAACCAATTAACTAAGGTATAATTTACATCTTTTTATAAAACTATTTTAATATTACAGGCCTGACCATGAAATAATGATAAAAGTCTACATAAAAGTGTGGATTTACAAACTTGTCATGGAATGCAAAAGAGACTATTGAGGTCAGGGGAAGACAGTCACTAAAGTTATAACAGTCAAAATCAAGGAACTAAAATTCCTTACCAGCTTGGGTACCTGGGGGCTCAAAGAATGTACACAAATATTAAAAATACCATTCTTTAAAACTTACATCCAAAAACAGGAAGAAAAATATGTCTTAAGATATTTTTCTGCCTCACTGCAAAATTTTCCTATGCATTATAGAAGACAAAGGCAAAATCGGAAGGAAAAAAATTGGAAACATTAAACCAAAAAGCTAGTAGACAGTGGTCTGTTTAAAAATAGAGACCTAACTTCAGTTGAGAGTTCCATTTATCCCTGCTACAGAGCTAATCATCCAGAAAAGTGCTTGACACATATCTGCACATTTCATATAAAAATAAAAAATAAATAAAAGAGTTCGGATTCAGGCAATGATTTAAGAGCCCGAGGAAAAAGAAATGAAGAAATTTCAAGATTAAAAAAATGGAGGAGGGGGTGTGGGAACCCAGTTGTTTGAGATGAAGAAATATAAAATTTGTAGCTTCTAATGAGTCTGGATAAATGTGGTCAGTTAAATGCAATCATTGTGTTAGCCCTTCTGTTCAACCTTCCCTTCCAGGTAATCAGCTCCGGTTGATGGTGCCCATTGGAAGACCCCCAAACTTGAAAAAGGAAGCCACCTAGAAAAACGAGGGAGAGGTACTGCTCTCTTCCTCACCTAAGGGTGCTGGTGTTATATAACTATCTTCAGAGGACAGGGCAGCAAAACCTAGGAATTYCCCCTCACTATAATTTAAACTAAGTTAAAATAGCTCAAAGTTGTAGGCATATCCACATTTCATGTATAACATAAAACTCAACCAATTTGTCTTCTCATTCAAATTTCTCAGCCACTATCAGCAATAAGTTTATGATTTTGGTTTACTATTTTAGTTTTTCATAACAATTCTAGAAAAATAAAGCAACCTCAAAAACAGAGACTCTAATTTGTCTTCCCAGAAGAGTTAAATGTAAATACAGTTCCTAAGGAGAGTAAGAAACAGATGTGACTAAGATGAAATAATCTCTACTTCCTTCTAACAGTGAACAACTTCATTCAAGACTTTTCAAGGCAGGACCCTCTGTAAATCATCCATTCAATGCATGGCGGGGCCCAAAGCAACATGGAGGAGAGGAGCATGTCAGTGAGGCTGATGGACATCTGAGAGCTAAGCAGAGATTTTTAAACTACCAAGTACTTACACCACACTCTGAAAGCAAAACCTTGGTTTTTGCAGGAACCTGGTCTGGCGACCCTTGCAGACACATCTAGTTTCTGAAGCACCTTTGAGTTGTACGGATGTAAGAATAACTTTGAATTATAGAAGTTATATGCATCTTTAAGAATCACATTTTGATGATTATAAAATTTTTTTCTATTTTACAACATAGGTTTAGCTACACAGAAAAAATTACACCGCTTATTGAAATACATTTCATTTTAGAAACAGACTACTAAAGAAGTCTATACAAAACCTCTAAAATAATTTCTGTAGTAAAATAAAGAGTGTGTTAGGAGAGCTACACAAAGAAGAAAATTTCCATCTTTCTCTATAATGCTTGATATACTGTGAAACATGGCCAGCTTAACTCTGTAGCCAGCACCAAAAGCTGAAAAGAATTCATTACAATACACAGTGATACAATTAATGCTCTGGATTAATCTCACAGCCTTCCCGATTAGTACAAAGGAGACCAGGCCTATCCCCTCTTTGAGGAGAAGTCCAGGATATAAAAGCAAGCATACCTCATCAGCTGATATGAAATTATAAAATCCCACAAGTCTGAGTATTTGAAATTTATAAAAGTCATCAGAAAATGCAAGCAAATTGGGCTTTAGTTCAGTGGTTCCCTGGTTTAGATGAGTTTCCTTGTGAGCTCAAGGTCGTCTTCTGGTTCACTCCCTTGGGTCTGCTGATTCACCCCAACAATGGCAAAGCCCCTGAGGGAGCTGAGGAGAGCCTGAGAACTGCAGAAATGCTCCACCAACTCACCGTGGGAACACAACTGGGGAACGTGCTTAAGGAGATGGATGTTAATGATGCGGTGCTGAACTGTTCTTCTCTGCCAGGTGCCGCAGAAAGGTGTCCTCATTCTGGCCTCTGTGATTTAAAGGCTCACTCTTGAAGAGAGCTGGTGGTGGGGGCAGGTGAGGGACTGGAGGGATAGGAAGGTGGTGTGGGTGGTGAGGGTGCGGGTGGATGTGCAGGTGAGAGAAGGGGTGGGGGATGGGCCGTGGGGGAAGAGTGCTAACGGGGTTCATACTGACGGGAGGAGCCGGGGTGGTGGGTGTGTTCACCACAGAAGGAACTGGGGTGGCTGGGGCAGTTGTGAGTGGGATCTGGACTGCAGGCGGCACATTCACGGGACTGGTCACCCGAAAGCACTTCTCCTTGTGGGCCTTGAGCATGTTGGAGAAGCGGAACCGCTGCCCGCACACGTCGCAGGGGTAGGGCTTTTCGCCTGTGTGAGTTCTGCGGTGCCTCTTCATGTTGGGGCGGCTGGTGAAGCTTTTGCCACAGATTTCACAGATAAAGGGCTTCTCTCCTGAGATGAACACGGACACGGAAATGGATTAACCCACTGGGCAGTAACTATGTGCTGATGTTATTCCTCATATTTACAAAGGAGATTACCACTTCTCTTCTGCACGCATCTTACATTCTAGTCATAAAAGAGTCACCCAGATTGCAACTTAAGAGATCAGAGCAGTCACAAGTATGACTCACTCACATGCAACCTACCATCTTGGTTTGGTTAATGGAGAGGGGACTGGGGGAAGGTGGTGGCGGGGCAGGGGTCTGCAGCTGCATGGCTTCTTCTCTTCACACTAGCGGGTCCCTGCTAGGAGCACTTGCTGTCACTTCAGTTGCCACTCCTTTCCTTCTCCATGTATTGAGACTTACAGTATACCAGRTTCTAGTCTAATCGCTTCACATCTACTAATCTTGGTGATCCTCACAGTGACCTTACAAGGTGATATGAGGAAGTTAAGAAAGCTGCTGACTGTTTGTTAGAGGAGGGTCCAAATTGAAAACTCTAAAGTCTTGCTCCAAAGTCTGTGTCTGTATGTGGACCAGAGCACTCACACTCCGGGTGCATTTCTGTAAACACAGAGGGATGTGTTTTCTTACTCTTTTTCCTCCACTTTGGGACTCCCCATAACTAGGAGCAAAGTCCTATGGTCACAGTCATATTTCTTCTCTCCACTTTCTTATTCTAGTAGAAACCTTAACATCTCCTATTGTCTTTACCACAGAAGACAGAATTTCCCTTGCTTCCCTGAGGGATCAGTTTGAAGAGTTGGAAGGGGCTAGTTTGCTCCATCTGTCAGTGCTATTTCCAAGCTATTGTGTAGCTCTTATCTTTCCGCTTTCCATTATTCCAGCCCTGCACTGAGGCTCCTCACTGTGACTCATACTCACATCTGAATGAGTTCTAGCTCAGCTTGTTTTCATTCTTTTAAAATCCATTTCCTCCAATCATCTTTAAAACTTCAAATTCTGTGTTACACAGAAGTGATTAAATCAATCATAGTATATCCACCTGATGGAAAATATCACTAGAAACATTATAAAGTATTGAAATATAATTATTAACATGAAAATCTATAAACCATAAAATAAAACAGGCATGAAAATGCTTGATATTGTGAAAATGCATGCTTGATATTATTAAAATGCATGGTATTATCTACCTTCAAGTAAAATATGCATAGAAAAAATATGGAAAGAAATACTACAAATGTTACCATGATTATCTCTAGGTAATGGGATTATGTGTGATACTGACTTTATTATAAACACTTATCTGTATCTTCTGTTTTTCTAAAATAAACACAATTTACTTATATAATGGAATGTTTTAAAAACACAGTTGTTGATAACTCATTAACCCCCTGAACCACCTCCTCCTTGACTCTCCAGAGTTAGTATTCTTCACTCACAACAGCTACCTGGAAATAGAGCTGAAGGACCTAACCTTTGAATTACCATGGTCTGAGAAAATACTTTCCACCTGATTCGATGATCACTACTTAGTATACCAGACACGATCCCTTTTACCAACCTGCAATCCTCCTGCCTCAGCCTCCCAAGTCATGGGCATAAAATGTAATAACTGGCTAAACATTTAAAATCGACCACCTAACTGAGCATGGTAGCACAAGTTTGTAATCCCAGTGGCTTGGGAGGCTGAGGCAGGAAGATTGCAAGTTCAAACAAAGCCAGTCTCAGCAACTTAGCAAGACCCTGTCTCTAAATAAAATAAAAAAGGACTGGGCATGGGGCTCAGTGGTTAAGTGCCCCTGGGCTCAATCCCCATACCAAAACAAACAAACAAACAAACAAACAAACAAAAAACCCAAGAAAATCAACCACTTGTATAACATTCCATGGCCATATTTAGTTGCTAGAAGATACAGGAACAGCTAACTTCATCAAAGTAACTAGACCAGCATGTATATCAATACACAAAGACATACCTAATAAAGCTGACCTAACATTAAGAGTTATTATGAGGAACCCAGAGAAAGGATGTTATAAACGAAGACAATCTACAGGAAAGATTGCAAAGAGCAAGAGTCTGGCTAGCTGTCTTTTGTACTGTTCCAAGGAAAAAATGATCTAGCCAACAAATGAGCATCAGAAACATATGCATCTATATACCTAACCTGAATCTTTTTCTTGAGCTTTAAGCTTACTTTTCAAACTGCTTACTGGTATTTCCACTTGAATGTCTTACAGATATCTCAAAATTAAATTAATTAGCCTACCTACGAATCTGTTCCTCCCTCCACTATTCCCTACTGTGAAAATAGTATAAAGCCCCAAATCTAAGACCAACCTTTGATTCTTTGCTCCCACATTACCAATATCCAATCAATCACCTCGTTCCTTTGACTCTACCTTGTCCATGGCTGAGATTTCATCCACTGCCATTACAGTTCATATCATCACAGTTGTTACCTGGATTACACAACAGCCACTTGACCAGTTTTACCATCTCTGTTCCTGCTCCCCACCCTCCAGTCCTCTCTCCACACTACTGTCAGACTTAACTCTCAGAGAGTTGTGTCACATACTACTTAAAATCATTCTCTTTTCACTGTCCTTAAAATAAAGTTCAAAATATTTTACAGGGCATAAGAGGTTCTTTGTGATCTGATCCCTGTGTAATGCTCTCCAGTATTACAGTGATCAGTCTCCCTGCCCCTCACACTCCTCCCTGTGCTTTTTTTTTATTTTTTTTTAAAGAGAGAGTGAGAGAGGAGAGAGAGAGAGAGAGAATTTTTAATATTTATTTTTTAGTTCTCGGCGGACACAACATCTTTGTTGGTATGTGGTGCTGAGAATCGAACCCGGGCCGCACGCATGCCAGGCGAGCGCGCTACTGCCTGAGCCACATTCCCAGCCCTCCTCCCTGTGCTTTTACGGCCAAATCACTGTCATGCTTGCTCACCTGCCCCCAAGCCTGACCAACAGCTCTGTGGACCCAGGAACTATCTCAGTCTTGCTTACCTTAGTAGTGCCATTTAGCAAACTCTTAATAAATATTTGTTAATTAAGATATATCTCTTCCCCCATGTTTTAAGATCTCTGAAACTGGCATATACTTTATAATCAATGACACATCATGTTTAATTTATAGCATTTCCTCAGCAGTATATAAATTTTGTCTTTCAACTGATGGCTTCTTGGATTCAATGATGTATAGCACTCACTATTAAGATCATTCAGTTGCCTTCCTCTGTTCTACTTCTCTGTTCCTGACAATCTTCTGATTATAACTTATCTTCTAATATAGATTTTTCCTTAGGCATAGAATATTCTGACTAAAGAGCATTAAGAATTCTGAACTAGCTGGTTGTGGTGGTGCACACCTGTCATCCCAGTGACTCAGGAGACTGAGGCAGAAGGATTCTAAGTTCTTGGCCAGCCTCAGCAACTGAGCAAGACCCTCTCACCCTCTCTCAAAATTAAAAAAATAAAAAGGACTGGGGTGTAGGTCAGTGGTAGAGAGCCACTGGATTCAATCACTAGTACTGGGGAAAACTATCTGCCATTCATAATTTAATAGACTGGCAATTTTATTTGCATGTTATTAGGACTCTTTAGCACATATCATTTCCTCTGATCCTGAGCTGCTTGGGCACTCCAACAAATCCTGGAAGCTGATGTCCTGTTATCTTGCTTCATTAAATTTATATCACAATCATTAAATGGATGATTTGGAGTCATATTGCCTTGGACAAGTTGCCTAATCCCTGAGCCTAAGCTTCCTGATCTGAAAAATAAAGATAATAACCTAACTAATAGGTTATTGTAACAGAATACACAAGTGGAAATGCTTAGAGCAGGATGTGGTAATAGCAGACACTCAATGCATTTTAGATACTTTTATTATTATCACCATCATCATTCATCAGACTGTAGGCTCCTTGAGGGCAGAAACCAGGTCTTCATCCTTATGTCCCTAAGCACAAGACACTCTGCCCAGTACAAGGAGAATCGCAGGTGTTTTACTCTGAACTCACCCCATGTCCATACCATACCAGGAAGCCCTGCCTTGTGGCTTATAAACTTCCCTAGATTAGTTGTGCCTCACTTCTCTTTATCTACAAAGAMATAGCCCACTGAATGTCAGTTTTCATAATTGCCTTAATGCCCATCAAAATATGCTGTTGTCTCTAAATATAGTTTCATCCAGGCTTAAATAATTTCTTCCTTTGGTACTGGGGATTGAACCCCAGGTACGCTTTACCATTGAATGCTTTACCAGCACTTTTTAAAATTTTTTTTAAGAGAGAGAGAGAGAGACAGAGAGAGAGAGAGGAGAGAGAGAGATAAAGAGAATTTTAATATTTATTTATTAGTTCTCGGCAGACACAACATCTTTGTTTGTATGTGGTGCTGAGGATCGAACCCAGGCCGCACACATGCCAGGTGAGCGCACTACCGCTTGAGCCACATCCCCAGCCCTTTACCAGCACTTTTTATTTTTTATTTTAAGAAAGGGTCTTGCTAAGTTACTGAGGGTCTCACTAAACTGCTGAGGTTATCCTTGAACCTGTGATCTTCCTACCTCAGCCTCTTCTGAGTCACTGGGATTACAGGTGTGTGTTACTGTGCCTGGCTCCCTTTTCCTTCTCCAAAGCAAACCCTTCTCCCCTACTCTGCTTCCCAGTCATTCTTATTGATGCCAAGAAACTAGAGGCCTATAGATATTATGTAATTCTGCTCATAAGTGGCAGGGTCCAGGCTTGTCCAACTCTACCATCCAGCTGCTTTTCACAACTTAAGTATTACAAATAATACTACAAGGCAGATGACAGGACAGCAGAAGTATTTCAATATGGATGTTAAACAAGGTCTAGCACATTTAATATAGAAAGACTTATTATAAACAATAAGAAAAATCAAACACTGCAACAGAAAGATGAACACAGAAAAGGCACAAAGCAAATCAGAAAAGAAAATGCACTGATAATATGCATGTGAAAAATGTTCAATCTTAGTTAATATTACTTACTTAATATTCAATTATACAATATTAATTAAATGTAAATTAATACAAGAAGAAACCACTTCTCACCTATCAAGTGAGAAATATTACAGTTAGAAGGGTGAGAGAAGCCAGGCACTGTGGCACACGCCTATAATCCCAGCAGCTTTGGAGGCAGAGGCAGGAAGATCACATCTTCAAAGCTAACCTCAGCAAATGAGCAAGGCCCTGTCTCAAAATAAAAAATTTAAAAGGCTGGGGATGTTGCTCAGTGGTTAGGTACTGCTGATACCAAACCAGAAAGAAAAAAAAAAGGTGAAGGAAATGGGGATTTTCATGCACCGCTAGTAGGAGTCTATGTGAAAGGCTATTTTGCAATACATGCTGCTAAGTCAAAAACGTGTACACTCTCTGCCCTAATAATCCTACTTCCAGAATTTGATCTAGGGAAATAACTTTGGATGTGTAAGCTACAAGGTTGTTTATCACCCTATTGTTTATAACAGTAGAAAAACTGGAGACAGAAAAAACAATGTCCAACAGGAACTGGCTAACCAAATGGAGGAAACATCTTTTATTTTATAGGACTGTTGTAAAGATTTTATTGATTAAATGAGATCATGTATGTAATGCCTGGCATTTTGTGTAATGATAAATAATAGTTACTCTTATATCAAATTTATAAGAAGAAATCTTATTTAGAGATTTAAATTCCATTGCTGATAATGACATGACGTAGTAAGATAAATAACAGGTTACACTAGTGTATAAAGACTACATTGTTTTATTTTACTGCTAGGGATTGAACCCGGGGCCTCATGCATGCTGAGCACATGTTCAACCACTGAACCACACCCAGTCCCTTGTTTCATTACTTTTCATATCAACACAGAAACACATATGCATACTATGTATGTCTATATGTATTAAAAATTATAACATTTTTTAAAATGGATGCATACTATAACATTAACAGTGGTCTTGTTGGTAAGATTTTATTTATTTTTTTGGTACTGGAGATTAAACCCAGAGGAGCTTTACCACTGAGCTATATCTCCAGCCCTTTTATATTTTGAGATAAGATCTCATTTTTTTTTTTTTAATTTTGAGACAGGATCTCATTAAATTGCCCAAGCTGGTCTCAAACTTGTGAATTCCCTACCTCAGCCTCCTGAATCACTGGGATTACAGGTGTTCAATACCCTACCCAACAAAGATTTTATTTTTATTTTGTGATTTTCATAGTTTCTGATAATTTAATAAATGTATATTACTTGTTTTTTTCAGGGAGGGGTACAGGGGATTGAACCCAGGGGCACTTTACCATTGAACCACAACCCAGGCCTTTTTTTAAGGTTTTATTTTTGAGACAGGGTCTCGCTAAGTTGCTTAGGGCCTCCCTAAATTGTCCTTTTTACTTTCTTATTTTGAGAAGGGTCTTGTTAAATTGCTGAATGTCTCATTAAATTGCTAAGGCTGGCAATAATTTGTGATTCTCCTGTCTCAGTCCCGAGTTGCTGGGATTATAGGCAAATACCACTGTGCCCGGTATGTATCGCCCTTTTAAAGAGAAAGATAAAAAATTAAGTGAATTGTATTCCTTTAGAAAAAAATAGGAAATGTTCAGCTAGTCTATTTTTTTCAAGATAAGAGAGACAGAGAGAGAGAGAGAGAGAGAGAGAGAGAGAGAGAGAGAGATAGTTTTTTTTTTTTAATATTTATTTTTTAGTTTTCGGCAAACACAACATCTTTGTTTGTATGTGGTGCTGAGGATTGAACTCGGGTCACACGCATGCCAGCGCTACCGCTTGAGCCACATCCCCAGCCCCAGCTAGCCTATTTGGTCAAAGAAAAATATTTAGCATAAAATTGTATTTATAACTAAAATAAGTATAAAATACACTTTGATTTCATATTGTAGACATTTAAAGGTCTAAAGAATAAATAGAAAGATAAAGGGGAGGAAAGAAAGAAAATGGGAAAAGGAGGGAAGAAGGAGCAAGGAGAAAGACACACAGGGAAACATGCAGAGAAGAGGTGAATGCAGAGGCAAACAGTGTTGGGGGCCATTTTCAACAGTGCAACATTTACCAAGAACCTATAGGCTGAGTACTCTTTGTGAATGCAACACAACCTCTGCCGTCGAAAAACTTCTGTTCTGGACTGGGATTGTAGTTCAATGGTAGAGCACTTGTGCTTAGCACATATGAGGTCCTGGTTTCAATCCTCAGCACCACACAAAAATAAATAAATAAATAAATAGATGGATAGAAAAATAAATAAAAGTATCCATCTACAACTAAAAATATATATTAAAAAAGTTCTGTTTAGTTCCATTGTTTCCTGCCAAGTAACTGAAAAATTGAATCCTAAAGAGATTCAATTAGAACTAAGAGTCTAAGAGCCAGTGAAGATGAGACTCTGTTAAATACTTTGATAGATCTTGCTATTTACTTGAGCTATATCTTCAGTTATTACCATTTTGGGGGTCTAATGTAACTAAATAAAGTCACTTCATGACKTCACCTTGCCCAGTGCTTACAATCTGAGGGTGCTCTGTTCTGAATAAGAAAGAAAGCTACCAAGCAGGCATTTTTCTTTGGACTTCAACAGAGAAATGGGAACTAAAGAGATCCAGCCATGGGTAGAATTTCCTCACCACTAGTTAAGCAAAAAGAACAGCAGGCTAAGCAAGATAATCTCCTATGGTTCTTTCTAGTTCTGCTACTCTGCTGATTAGATTTTACTTAGAAATCTAAAATTGTTACATGCTCTTCAATCTTCTCTTCAATTTGTGCAGAGATGGGTAACCCCAGAACATCAAGTTCACACTGTAAAATAATGATAGTATTTATGTGGAGAGCTATTAATTTATCCAGTTCCCTACAATGTGAATAATCAAGTGGTGACAGGGTTCAAAGGCATGCTATGAAGCCATGTCCCTAAAACCACAAAGTGATTAAAATCTATTTAGCTTCATTTAATGAATGTGTTCCTGAAAGGTAGCAAGATTTTAATGAATAAAATCTAATCATGAGCTGGGGTTGTGGCTCAGCGGTAGAGAGCTGGCCTTGCAAATGCAGGACCCTGGGTTCGATCCTCAGCACCACATAAAAATAAATAAGTGAAATATTGTGTCCAACTACAACTAAAAAATAATAATAATAAGGGGCTGGGGATGTGGCTCAAGCGGTAGCRCGCTCGCCTGSCATGCGTGCGGCCCGGGTTCGATCCTCAGCACCACATACCAACAAAGATGTTGTGTCCGCTGAGAACTAAAAAATAAATATTAAAAAAAAGAGTCTTTCTTTAAAAATAAAATAAAATAAAATAATTTCTACACTGGTGAAATTTAAAAAAAAATAATAATAATAAAAGAAATTTTTAAAAATCCAATCAAACTTTGGGAATATCAGAGGGTCTTCTATTTGAAGTAGTAAGGGTCCTTCAATTTTTAAGACCCAGAACATTTTCCTGAGAAAAATAACATATGTATATATAAAGCAAGATTTCAGAAGTTCCTGAACCACAAGTAAGAACCCACTTCCTTAAATAAACCCACAGTTAAAAGGCAGTCACAAATAAACCTTTTTAAAAGTTATGAAAGCTAAATTTTTAATTATTATGAATCTGTATTTTTACATATTTAGTTTATTTAAAATTGAATTTTTTTCACTTAGGATGAAAATTTGTGGATCAGATTTAAAACAAAGTAGACCCACAGGTGATTATCAACAAGTACTTTAGAAATCCTTACCAGTGTGTGTTTTCATGTGTTCGTCGAAGTACTGCTTCATGTTGAAATCCTTGCCACACCACTGGCACATGAACTGTTTGTGCCCAATGTGGATGCTCATGTGGGAGCGTAGTTGGTACTTGTACTGAAACCTTTCGTCACAGTTCTGCATTGGACATAGTGAAGATTTTTTAATGCCAATCACAGAAGCTTTACCTGAGACCACCCTAACACAATCTCTGACATTAGGTCTATTTCTCATACTCAAAATAGAAMCTGCTCATGTCAGCTACTTGGCTTTGCTATGTTTCTGCAGCTGAGTTATGAATAAAAGGGATTTTTTCCATATAATTATTACTGGAGCATACTCAACTTCTGTGAATCACTGAGAAGGAAAAAATAAGTCATTACATGCTATTCCCAAGTTAATCTAAGAGAGTTAACCATGTGTTAAATAGGACATTTCTCTTCCTGGAAGTGAGAGTGCACACAAAGCTCAGTGTGCCTCTGAAGCTTCTGTGGCATGTGGCCATGCACCTTGTACCTCAGCACCTCACTCTCATTGCTGCACCATCTATACAACGTTAGCTCTGGACCTGGCCTATGGGGTGACATAGTCCTTACCTCACATCTGAAGGGCTTCTCTCCAGAATGCTGTAAGGAATGCACCTTGAGTGACATACTGCGTTTAAAGGATTTTCCACAGGTTTCACATGTAAATGGCATGTCTTTCGTGTGTGCTGCAACATAGAACACACTTACACTCAAAATAATTCTACCAAAAAAGCTCAAAGTTGAAAGCCAGATGTACTGTAAGGTAACTATGCCATCTTAACTTTTTACACTTTTTTTTGGTGACACTTTAATAGTATACTCTGAAGAGAAAAATAACGAAGTTAAAAAGAAATCTGAGTGTGGAAAACTACACCATCCAATTTGGTGATGCTTACTGAAAACATGCTGTATTTAGTCTCAACATGTCAAAACTGATTTTAAGTACAGCAATTCCACATATCTTGCCCAATCCAGAGCATAAAGCACACCAAGGAACAAGAGGAAATTATAGGTGTGAGAGAAAGAAGCAGAAAAAACTTACCAACCATGTGTTTCCGCACGTGAGCCATGGTATAAAATTTCTTCTCACAAATTTCACAGGAAAATTTCTTTTCTGCATATCCGTGGACAATCTTGATATGTTCATGAAGGGACCAGAGTTTCTTGAACGATTTGTTACAGGAAACACACTGAGCAGGATAAATAGGAATAATCTTTATTTACTTTATTTATGGCAGAAAGCCATACTGGCCTCCTGGCAGATGAAATGGATGTGCTTTAGATTCACAGCACAAGGCCGGAATCTAAACAAATGCTATTCCACCGTGGAGTCCAGATTCCAGCACCAACATCTATATGTTCTATTTTACAAGATGCATCTTTTAGAGAGACTTTAGGAATATGATAACAATTRCAAAAAGTAAAACAAGAAGTGGAAGTTCCACTAATATCAAAGATGTGACTGCTATTATCAAGTTAGTGTTGTACCTACAAAAAGAACCTTCAGGTTTATTTAGTCTGTGGATTACCCAGGGTGGCTGCCTCTCACACGTGAGGCACTATGCAGTTAATAGGCGTTGACCAGAAAACACAAACTAATTTTAAATTATGATAAATAAAAATAAAACAACATATAACAATGGTTATAGATCTGCAGAAGTACAAAAATATTTTTATACCTTAGACAATGCATTTGGAGCCCTCATTAACAAGTGAGATTTTGTTGTATTTTCCCAAATCTAATCTACTCCATTAAACATTTCCCTCTGGTAGAAATTAGTATAACCTCTAAACTGTTAGCATCATTCCTCCTTTTCCCCTACAGCCCTGTTCCAGATCTGTCTTACATGTATCTATAGGAAAGACATCACACTGCCTAGTCTCTTATGTCATGGAGCTTAGAATAGAGCAACAAAATAAAATATTTCTGGTTAAAGAAAAACAATATCCAAAAGTTCTTGGTAATCAATAGACCTTGCAATACTTAGAAAACAAGTTAGTGTTCTCTGTAAATAAAGATCTCTGAACATCACTGTCACTGCAGGAAACAAGAACTCTGAGAATTCAGRGTTGAAGGATAAGTCCCTGGCTAGAAAATGCTCTAGAAAAGGACAAACCACTTCCATAAGCCATCTTATAGGGCAGAGTTTTGATTTTTCACTTGTTACCAGGTCATTGGGATTATCAGGATCTATACAAAGCATATATATATATATATATATATATATACGAACAAAGCAGTGTTCTTCAGGAATTCGAAGAAAATTCAATTAGCGGACTCTGCAAACTCTATAAACACAAGTTTAAACATACCATGATGAGGAATAGTAAGGCAAGTCACATACAAAAAAAAGATCTTTAAAATATTTTTTATCCTGTAACTAAAAGCAAAGTTAAGCAAAGTATTCTATAACTAAAGATCAGGAATACTTTTTTAGACATGAATCATTAAGGAATCCAATTCTGACCCCTAGGGTGCAGCATTACCCTCCCGCTGGCTTTAAACGCTGTAACCAATTCACACCCTAGAGAGGGCACTCACTGGCACTGGCTGTTGCTGAAAGACAGAGGAGCCATGACTCAAATCTTCTTTTATTTACCACGTGTCAAAATCAAGTCACAATTGATAGACCAAAAAACAGTGGATCTTTAGCAAATGTAATTTATATTTTTAAAAATTCACTTTAAAGTAAGGCAATGACTTCAGTTGATTAAAAGCAATAAAAGAAAAGTAAAAATTAAAAATGATCACTAACATAAGCAGCACTCCAAAAAACAAAGTAAAACAATTTATCTTTTAAAAGGTTAGCTTAAATACAGCACAAAATATTTCTACTGTACACATCTTAGACTTTCAAAGACTTACCTTTTATGAATATCCATTAATATGCAAACAATACAGCTGCAATCCACACAACCTAACATAATTAGCACACCTCTTAACCTACCACAACAGTCCTTTCAAGACTCCAGCCTGGTTTGAATACCATGTTTTGTTACCTTAATAATACTGTATAGTAGCATTACGAAATCCCACTGCAGGTGGGCAACATTTTCAACCAACTCAGCCTCTGTTTAAAGTTTGCATATTCCCTTGGGCTCAGCCTCTTGACAAATTTAGTGTTGTCATTTCTCCACTGGTAAAAAGCAAACTCACTCCTGGAGGTCTTCCATTTCCACCGGTCTGCGTCATTATGGCTTTTGTCCCCATCAGCTGCACTAGATTCTGGCATCCTTTTAAATAGAAAGGGAGCTTTCTCTACTCCTGACCTTTACTCAACGTTTCCCACCTTGACAGAAAAGATGCCAGAATGAATTATATCACATGTCCTACAACAGTGAATCTCAGGGCAAAGTCGATGCTGACTTTACGTCCTCGTCAATCATCTCTAAGAGATCCCCCTTCCAGTGTACCTGGGTTCCCACTAGTCCAGCATTAGTTAAATGTAATGCTTTTGAAATACAATGTTAAGCCTTGGTTTTGAAAAGACCCAAGCAGAAGCTTCTAAAATGATAAATTGGTGAAATCTGTCCCTTCAGCCTCCTATTGTATTTATTCTCTTGGGCAGACACCAGATGAATCTGAATAGCCAGGTTCTATCCTGGAAAGTTTGCCCTCTCGGTGATAAGACCTACCTGAATGTTTTTTTCACAGTCTGTTTGCTGGTGAAGGGACAGCTCACTTTCCAGGACAAACTTCTTGCCACATTTATCACAGATCTGCATGCGCCTGTGAGTAACGTTCATGTGCTTCTCCAGGTACCATCGAGTATTAAACACCCTGGGGCACTTCTCACAGGTCAGAGTCTCTTTCTCTTCACACTTAGCTTTCTGGACTGGTGCTTTGGGCTCCTTTGTGGCCCGCTTCTTACGCTTAGGTGGCTCTACACTCTTCCTACGCCCTCTGGTAGCTCTGGGAGTAGGGGAAGTGGTAGCTGCAGCAACAGAGGCAGCTCTCCGCGTTCGCCTTTGTGTAACATTGACTTTCTCCACTATCTTCTCCTTTTTCTTCTGCCTTTCATTCTCTCCGTAGTCATTGCTGTCATCAGTGGCTTCTTCCTCACTCTCTTCCTCTTCCTCCTCACTGCTCGTCTTAAGAACAGGAGTCTCTTTGGACTGAGAAGAGACACCCTTTTCCCCTTTAGATACATTTAATGTTTGATTATTAAGGTTTACCTCCACTATGATCTGCTCCCTTTTGTAAGAGACTTCCTCCTCCTCCTCCTCCTCCTCCTCTTCCGAGTCATCAGAATTCTCCCGGTCTTCTTTGACAGCATGCACGTCAGACACTGCTCTTGTCTCCCTGAAATATGGCTGTTCCTCCGTCTCATGGAGATGTGGTTTGCTCATCTTGGTGTCCACTAACACAGAATAAGGACTTCCTGATTCCCTTTTGTACACTTTGGTGGACAGGTCAAGTTCTTGGTTGGCACCATGATAAAAAGTAGATGGCACTTGACCACGGCGGCTCTCTTCTTGTGCCATCCCTGCTACATGCACAGCACAGTTTTCAACCAGTTCCTGACAAGAACTGGCTGTGTGGCTCATGGGTAAGTGGCCCAATTTATTAAGCAGTTCAGAGTATAGAGAATTAATTTTAAAATAAGGTAATTATTAGGACTCAAATCTTTTTCCATTCAGAGAGAATTACTTAAATGAAAAAAAGATATTACTGGAACCTCTGTGCAATTCTTCCAGTGTCACAGCACCAAAACATAAGAAAAAGGGTTTGGTATTATGGCAAGAGCAGAGCACAGGTGATTTTCTTCTGAAGAGAGCTGCAAGGAACTTGGAGCATCTTATCTACAAAGARAAACAAAGAGGAAAAAAAAATCAGATATCACCATTTCCTTTTTATGGCTTTTATCACAATAACAACTTAAAATTAAAAACATAACAAACATAAGTTAAAATTATTAAGCTCCTTACATATACAAGGCTTTATATGGTTAGATGGTTCAGCATGGGCCATTAGTTCACTGGCTTACATGAGTCCACAAATATTTTCTGTTAGGATGTCCAATTCACCGAGATATCTACAGAGCTTAGCACAGTGCCTATCACACAGTATGGATCTGATGAATAAACATCTACTAATGCATAGCATTTGTTATCCCAGATGCTACAGACACACTGACAAGGCAGAATACAAGGCTTGTGTCTGCACAGAGTCTACAGCCCTGTTACAAAATATCATGAAACACTCAGGATCTTCAAATAAGCTGGTTTTCTTTCAGCATCAGTCACCATATCGACTACAGTGGGATTTCAAGAAAAGTGGTTGTGGCACAGGCCCTGGGAATCATGGAAATAAAGCAGCTAATTGATATAATTATAAAAGGGAAAGAAAATACCCTTGGCTTTAAAAAAAATTATAACTAGATATAGATGTAATTGTTTGCAGGTTTAATAGAGTGACTTCAAAGATGTTAAGTATTTTAAAATTTGTTGCCTGAAAACTCAGTAGATCTATTTATTCAATAACTAGGTGATTTTTTTTTTCATGTGTCAGTTGCACAGAGGTCTAAATTCTAAGAAATAGTAACCATTAGGTTGATATGATTCCAAGAAAAATAAAACCATCCATTAAAAAAAAAAAAAGACTAGAAGGGCACACTATTTGCTTTGTGACATGCCTCACATTGCTGTTTAGCCAACCACTTAACCGCTGAGTCATATGAACACTACTGTGAGCACAGACCCTGTGGAGCTGACAAAAGGGAAGAATGCTTGCCATACGCATGGGCACAACAAAAGATTTACTGATTCTATTTTATACTTACTGCAGAACTTTGGGATTGTTTTCAATCAAAGTAATTTTAAAGAAGCACCCATAGTTTCACAAATCAAATATATTGGCCCTACTTTAGCTACCTTGAGTCCCATTCCTCAGAGACAATAATGCAATTTTAGCTGTTTCTTCCTTGATATTTAATTCTTACCTTTTTACATATGAATATTTCTATTTCTTGACTTCCCCCTCCACCCCGATTTCAGGCACTACACCTCATCTCTCATTATAATTTTCTCTTTTTTTTTTTTTTTTTGTTCTCAACTCTCCTCTCATAAAATACAGTAGTATCAGAACTTTTAAAATCAGTATACTGCTTGGGACTGTGTAGTTTGTGACTATTTGTCACCTTTGTTATTGTCTTCTCTTCCAAATTTTCTCCCATTTCTTTGACCTCAGAGATTTATTTTTTTTTCCTAAAAGAAATTATTTTACTTTCACTTAATGGAATTTCATAAAAGAATGATGATAAATGCCACCAGGTTTTACTTGACATCTAAGTAGATGTAGTGATACTTTTTTCTATTCAAATGAGGAAATTATGGCTCAATTGTGCATATTTTGAGGAAGACATATATATGGCATTGGAGCAAAAGCACCTGTACTCAAAATTAAGAGAAGGAAGAAGTATGCAATCACTGAAGCAGAGCTACGCAGCCAATATCAGAAGTATGGCTAGAAAAGAGTCATGGATATGGCTAAGGAACATGGAGGTGACTGGACATAGATAAAAAAGAAGCAGCCTACAAAGATGATACTGCCATAAGAACCCACCAGCTGGAGCTAAAAGACTGTGACTGCTCAAGACCAAAATGAGTGATGGGTTTTCAAGCATCTGTGGCAGGAAATGGGCTAAGTGTTCATCCTCCTAAAGACAATACCCACTGTCCATTTCAGATACAGTTTAGGAGGGTCACAGGAAAGAAGGAAGGAAAAGGGAATAGGAGGGAGGAGAGCGAGGGGCAGAGAAGAAAAAGAAAGGAGGAGGGGAAAGAAGAAAGAAAAGGAAAAAGAAGGAGAAGGAAGAAGAAATAGAGGGTCCAAAGGATGAAGTTAGGGATTTAAAAAAAAAAAAAAAGGCAAGTGACCAGGCACAGTGGAGCATGCCTGTAATCCCAGTGGCTCGGGAGGCTGAGACAGGAGGATTGTGAGTTCAAAGCCAGCCTCAGCAACTTAGAGAGTCATTAAGCAACTCAGGGAGACCCTGTCTCTAAATAAAAATACAAAATAGGGGTGGGGATGGGCTCAGTGGTTGAGTGCCCCTGAGTTCAATTCCCAGTACCAAAAAAAAAAAAACATATAAGTGAACTCTCTTTGCTCAGAAGGGTTTCAGAATTTTTTGTACACTCCTACGTTTCCTATTTCCACCTCTTTCAAACAAGAATGTTTATTTTTATTATTTTGTTGCTGTTTGCTATGTATTGTTTAATGTACTAGGAACAGCAAATCATTTGTCAATTTATTTTCAAAGTTTCTGGATCAAAAAAGCAACATCTGGACTCAATGAAAAGACTACTATGTATCATCTCCTCACTAACAGACCACTAAGCATCACACTCTTGCATAACTCTGAGATTCTGGACTTTGAGCTTAATGCCATGATTGCATAGGAAGTTGAGGTATTTTATCCTGGGGAAGAAGTAAGTTAGTTTTGCTTTAAGAGTCAGTAGACCAAATATCTGACAACTAGAAAGATGGACTGGGATAGATGTGTCATTCAGCAAGTACTTTCAGCTGTCTGTCTCCCTGGCACAGAGGTACCATGCTTCCTGGCCTCCCTGAAGTTATGGGTCTACATGACTAGTAGTGTACATTGGTTTTTGAACTGTTGATGTTAGTCACTTCTGAGCTACTGTATTTAATTGCTAATATATAAAAAAGATTACAACCCTCCCATCAGCCTGCATCACTGCCCAATGATAAAAGCAGAGCTCCCCAGCTGATGTAGTGAGAGAAAAGAAATCCTTCATTGTTTCAAGCTCTTAGATTGGACCTCATTAACTAGGTCATGCTTGTTACCACAGTATGACCTAGCTAATGTAGTACTTTGTGCACATATATACATAATAACATATTAATTGTCTTAGTCTTGAGTTAGACAGCAGAAAAAATGGAATTAATATGTACAAGGTTAAAAATCAGAAATATAAAGGGTTGAACACATAGGGGAATCATTTCTTTTTTTTTTTAACTATTTTTTTAGTGTTTTTTTTTTTTAAAAAAAAAAAAACATCTTATTTTACCTTCATTTACTTCTCTTTATTTTATTTTTATGTGGTGCTGAGGATCAAACCCAGTGCCTCATGCATGCTAGGCGAGCACTCTACCTCTGAGCCACAACCCCTGCCCCTATTTTTTAGTTTTAAATGGATCTTTTATTTTATTTATTTATTTATATGTGGTGCTGAGAATCGAACCCCACRGCCTCACACATGCCAGGCAAGTGCTCTATCACTGAGTCACAACCCCAGCCCCAGGGAATCCTTTCTTAATGAGTGAGATGATATTAGTTGGGTATGGGTACTGTAATCCCAATACAACTGTAATCCCAGTTACTCAGAAAGCTGAGGCAGGAGGATGGCAAGTTTGAGGGCAGCCTGAGCAACTTAGTGAGACCCTGTCTCAAAATAAAAAGGGCTGGGGATGTAGYTCAGTGGTAGAGCTGGGTTCAATCCCTAGTGCCACCAACAAACAAAAAAACAAAGTAAATGAGATGATGATAATAAATAATAAGACTCGTTTCTACTAAAAATTCTAATTGAAGTGCTTTATTCATCATTTTAAGGGATGAGCACATATATACATTCCCACATGAACATGAAAGTAACATCTCAATACTATTAAAATCAGAAAAACTCAAAAGAATCATGAATAAATCACACAGTCACAATACAAGATGTAGTCTAAGGGTTCACATAAAAACACATGGACATTCTGCCCACATTTTACTTTCTTCATTTAATTTTTCCCTTATTTGAGCTTTGATGATAATCTTCCTTTATTCTCTTTCCAGAAAACTTAAATTATTTCCTAAGAATACAATGACTTTACAAAACCAAAAACACATTAGGGAAATTAGGACCTTCCATTTTCCAAGATCCTACTTTCTCAATGTATCCTCAATCCCACTTACTACAGATCACCTTAATGTAGTTTCTTATAAGACTCTTTAAGTAATACATTGAGCTCTAAGACATGATACTAGAGAAAGTAAATAAGAAATAACCCTCAATGATATTGGGAGCTGTTTAACTTAAAGATATTTAAACTCATCTCTATAGTGGCATTACATAAAGCATGTTCACCTCTTCTTACAGATCATCTTCAGTATCATAAYATGAATTCCAAAATGAAGTGGTTCATGCCTTAGTGTCTTGCTATAATTAACATAAACAACTTATGGGGATGTGGGAGAATGTGATGTGTAAAATATAGGTGTAAAAATTGATAAGCAACTAATTCTGGCACTCTAAAAGCTTATGAAAAATACAATTTTAAGAAAAATATACAATAGTATATTGCAGAGAGTAAAATAAAGTTTCTCAGAATGTGCTCTTTTCAATGCCATTTTTTTAAGTAGTCTAAAAAAAACAAGTTTACTGTCTTTAAGAATATTTACTTGAAGCCAGGCACAATGGCACATGCAACTTGGGAGGCTAATGCAGGGGGATCTCAAGTTTTAAGGCCAGCCTCACTAACTTAGCAAGGCTCTAAGCAACTTAGTGAGACCCTCTCTCAAAACAAAAAATTTAGGGCTGGGTATATGGCTCAAGTAGTAGCGCGCTCGTCTGGCATGCATGAGGCACTGGGTTCGATCCTCAGCACCACATAAAATAAGATAAAGATATTGTGTCCACCTAAAAGCTTAAAAAAAATAAATAGTAAAAAAAAAWWTTTTTAAAGGCTGGTGGTGGGCTGAGATTGTGACTTAGTGATAGAGTGCTTGCCTGGCACGTGTGAGACACTGGATTTGATCCTCAGCACCACATAAAAGTAAATAAATACAATAAAG